CTATCTATCTATCTAGTATTTCTATCTATCAATCATCTATTTCTATCTATCATCTATTTCTTTCTATCTATCATTTATTTCTATCTCTGTCATCTATCTCTATCCATTTATCTATCTATCTATCTATCTATCTATCTATCTATCTATCTATCTATCTATCATCTTTTTTTCTATCATCTATTTCTATCTATCTCTATCCATTCACCTATCTATCATCTATTTCTGTCTATCTACCTATCTATCTATCTATCTATCTATCTACCTACCCAGAAACTGAAATCTGCAAATACAAGCTGTGTCAATATTTCAGGTAAAAAGAAGACAAAAGACCAAAACAAAACGAACTTTTTTTCCCCTGATTATTTTATTAACATGCTAAATGTGTCAGTCTTCAAAGCAGGTCAGTCAGTGCCCAGGATGACAGCTTTTACTCATTCTTGACAATGTTTTATTGCCCGCCACAAATTTTGCATCCACCACTGGCCCAGAAGTGGAATGGCTGTGAGGCAGTTAACTGGGGAAAAAAATATATGTGTGCGTGACCTTGACGGATAGATTTCGGCTTGTTCTTGTTTTTCTTCTTGGCTCATAATACGCTGGGCCCTGAGGACGGGAGCATGGCTTTGTAGCTAGCAGCCCTTTTTGTGGGTGAATGGACAGAGAAATCGGGGTGCTGAGATCTGGTGGCCGCGTAGGACAGACACTGAGCTTGGTAACAACACTCGGATGTTCTTTCGGCAAAGAATGGCTTAAGGAACTTGAAGCTGACTTCGTAAAAAGCATATTGGACTCACAAAAACATTTCCATGGGAGGAAGCTCCCAATTTTGCTCACAGTTTCACTCTTATCGGTGCAAAAGACAGGTGCAAAGTATTCCTTTGGGCAACGAGGTTGGCTCTTAAGAAAAGTGGGATCCCATCAGGGAAGTGAAAATATAATTTTTCCCTTTTTCAACATGTTGTCTAGGTTGGTGTCGAGCCCCAGGACTCAACTTCCTGTTTTGAAAATAGGTTTATTTTAGATTTTCAAGCTAATATTTTCCCTGCATCGGGTCTATGGTTCTTTGAATGAATTTGGCAGGATTTTTATTAGGCCTTGGTTGGTGGAATGATACAATCCACTATGGCCAACTTGCCACATGGGCCAAACTTGTCAAAAGACAATTCAACAAATACAAAAGTTAACTTAATTTTGACAGAACCGTGGCCAATAATAGCATGAAGAAAGTCAATCCAGAAATACAAGAATCACGATGATTTGGATGAAAACGTGCTCATCAATAATAAAATAAAGTAACTGAATGAAATGATGAAAACGGTGTTGAATTGTCCCACGGCGAGTTGGGTTGGCTGCGGCGAGTTATTTTAGACAGGAAAGGAAAACTTTGGCGACCACGTTGGGACACCAAACGGACCTGTTTTTCAAATCCTAACTTGTGAATGGGACTTGGAAGTGGCTCGCAAATTTTCCATTTTTGCAATTTTGCAAGGGGTCCTTGGCAGGCAAGGTTTGGTACCCAAAGGATTCAAACTTCATAGCAAGGTTTGAAGAATTTTAGAGAACCAACCTCGCAGAGCGGGAAAATAATTTCCCTTCAACGTGGCATCTCTACCGTAAATGTTTGGAAGTTGGCATCGAAGTGTGGGAACTGCGTTCCCAATCTCCAAAAAGGAAGATTAAAATCTCAATCCTCCATTTATAGAGTAACAAGCACCCTCCCCCAATGATAGTTGGGAGGAAAAAAGGATGAAGAATTTGGTTCAAACGATTCAAAATAAGCGACGGCTATTCTAATCTTCCTAACCTAGACTTCCCACTTGTATGTTGTCCTTGATTTACAATCACAGGAAAACCTTGAATTTCAGTCTTAAGTCATTGCGATTGTAAGTCGAGGAGCCACAGGACCAGTCTCAATTTCACGACTGTTTTTACAACAGTCGCAAATGAGCCACAATGGTTGTCCAGCCAATCACACAGTCGTTCTTCCAAATGGCCGCTTTTTGCCAGACAGCAGCAAAAATAGATCGCAAACAGCGACCGTGGGGCACTGCAACCATCACAAATGCGAGCCAATTGCCAAGGGCCTCAACTGCAATCCCATACCAAAAGAGGCATGGCAGTTGTAACTCCGAAGATGGATCATCGGGAGATTTTTTTTAAAAGAGCTTGTTTGACAACCGGTCGCAAGTTGTGGAAAGGACGACATCTCTCGCTCTGCCCACGATTGGTGGCTTCTGGTGAAGCAGTGTGGAAGGCCTTGGTGCTCAGCAGGCCCTTCCACCCACCCCACTCCATCCCCTCCCTTCCTCTGCTTTGACCATTTTCCCAGGACGTGCAAAAATTAAAATTAGTTGAAGATCAGAGGAGCCCCCTTTGCTGGGGTGGGAAGACAAGGGAGGAAATGGAATCGCGGTGGGGTTTTGAGGGGACAGGAAGAGGAAAGAAGCGCGTCAAGGCGAGGTGGGAAGGCTCCAGAAAGGCTCAGGAACTGGGATCCTGTTTCCGTTTTTGGAAACGTCGGAATTTTCCCTGGATGGCGAGAGCAGCCTTCTCCGTTTCCGGGGCATTTAAATCAATATCAATTTCTTCTTCTTCCGGCTCTGTTTTCTTGGGGTTTTCGCCTTTGTCTGTGGGAAGAAAACAATTGTTACAGTTTTCCAACATCGTTGCAAACGAGACCAGAGGTGGGATTCAGACGGTTCTGACCGGTTCAAAAGAGTAGTGGAAATTTTAAATAGTTCGGAGAACCGGCCAATACCGCCTCGGACTGGCCCCGCCCCCATCTATTCTCCGCCTCCCATCCAGTCCCAGCTGATTGGCTGGATTTTGTTTTGTTGCCCTGCACAAGGAGAACGGAGCTGGAAAGCAGGTTAGTAGAGGTGGGGAGGGAAGGGGGACTTTGCAGTAACCTTCCCCCGCCACACCCACCAAGCCACGCCCACAGAACTGGTAGTAAGAAATTTTGAATCCCACCATTGAACGAGACCATTAGGCCAAATCAGACACCCCTCTTCCCCCCGACCCCACCCCCCCGGCCACCAGAGAGAATTGAATACAGGCGGGATAATAAATAAATAAATAAAATAAAAATTCAGAGAATTCTTCAAAAACCACACTCCGTATGTGGCAGACTTAACCCACACGGTTTTCGCATTTGTCTATCGATTTTCCCCAATATCTCTTGTTTTTTCTTTATTTATTTTTTGATCCTGGGTTTGTGTTTTTTTTTTATTGAGTTGTCTTTTTCAAATTTATATGCTTTCTCGTCTCAGGGTTCTTTTTTTTTTTTTTTTTGAAAGCCTTCATGCGCTACTGTTGCCTGGATCTGAGGCCGAGGTTTCACCTGAACTTCAATTTCCAGCATCCCCCACCCCCCAAAAAAGTCACTCACTTTTTGCAATATTTTACTTACCAAGCTCCAGAGTCCAACTGCAGTTTAAAAAAAAAAACCCAAATAGTTGCGCACAACCGCATCTTTAAAATATACCCCAATTTTAAAAACGTATTTTTATCCCTTTGATCGTGGATGAAAAATTTAGAAAAGAGGATTTCTGGGCGTTGCGTTAACTTACAAGCAGACGTGGTAACCTGGCAACCAGAAGCGGACAACAGCCTATAATGGTACATAGATAGAAAGCATCACTGCTTCCGGGTTGCCTAGCAACCACTGTCCAATGGGGTGGGAGAGCATCCCTGCCCCTTTACCTCTTCCCTCCATCCTTTTTGCAAAAGGATAATGGGGAAGGTACCAGATGAGGTGCTGAGTTCAAGTTCTCCGCTACAGATGGCCCCTAGCTTAGTCCCTCCCTCCCTCTCTGCCTTGCCTACCTCACAGAGTTGTTGTTGTTTTTTTGAGCGGGGGGGAAAAGGGAGATGGCAACGCTATCCTGAGTTCAAGTCCTGCTTTAGCCAGGAAAGCCAGAGAGTGAACTTTGGGCGCAATTACCAAGAGACGGTGAGTTCTAGTTCTGCCTTAGACATGAAAGCCATCTGGGTGACTTGGGTCCAGTCACTAGGAGACAGTGAGTTGGAATAGGTACGGTGGCCTAGAGGTGGAGTTCTCACCTCACAGTCAGGAGGCTGTGAGTTCGATCCTAGGTAGAGGTAGATACGTCTCTCTCTCTCAGGGCAGAATGAGAATATATTTGCTGGGGGGAAAAAACTCCGTATTGGTGACAGGAAGAGCATCCGGCCAGTAAAACACTCAGCACCATTCAGTTGCCCAAACTGCACCCTGCAAGGGATTATGGGGTCGTTAAAAGATGACGATGACTAGGAGACAGTGAGTTCTAGGAAAGCCAACTGGGTGACTTTGGGCCAATCACCAGGAGACTGGGAATTCTAGTCCCCACCTGAGGCACGAAACCCAACCGGGTGACTTTTGGTGCCTGTCAGCACAACCTACCTCACAGGGTTGTTGTGGGAAAACAGGAGGGGGAAAGTGCCTTGAGTTCGTTGTCAAAACCAATAAAGGTGGGATATATATACAAATAAAGAAAACAATTCCCAAAAATAAAAGGCAATTAAAAAGGAGTTCTGAACCACCTTTTATCCAAGAAGTAAAAGCACGATTTACAGCCTCTGTTCACCTGCCTAGGGAAAAATTCCTCATTAATTGATTGGTATAAATATACAGTATATATATATATATGTTTCCCTCTCTGCTTGACATCCAAAGCTTTGAGAACAAGGGAAACACCTCAAGGGTCTTTCTCACCTTTTTCTTCTGGCCTGGAAACCTCTCTGGAGATTGGTGACTCATCGGAGGTGAGCTGTGGAGAAGAAAAGAGAATTAAATTGAGGGGGAAGAGAGAGAGAGAAAGAGAAAAGGAGGTTTCGAGAACATGCTGGTTGGGGAAGGTGACTTTCGTGGCTGCCAAGTCATCAGGATTCAAATCCCTCAGGGGTCCTTCCAGAGGGACAAGCTTTGGAACAGAGGGCTGGCCTCGTGACCTATTATTATTATTATTATTATTATTATTATTATTATTATTATTATTA